TGAGAATGTCTTCATGAGCAGTGAATAATGCTGTGTCATCAGCGAAGAGAGCTAATTTGGTGTCTGTCATTCCTGGAATATCTGAAGTGTAAACATTGAATAGTGTCGGAGAGAGTACAGACCCTTGAGGTAAACCTGCTGATATGTTTCGAGGGGTTGATAATGTTTCATTGACTTTTACCATGAAATTTCTGTTAGTAAGAAAGCAGTGGATTATTTTTTGGATGTAATCAGGGACTCCCAAATTACGTAATTTATACATTATTCCTGGATGCCAGATCCTGTAATACGCCTGTGCAATGTCTAAGAAAACTGCTACAGTATGTTTCTTTTGATGAAGCTCTGCAATATTTTCCGTTAGTCTCAGTAATTGGTGCGTACATGAATGGTTAGGTCTAAAGCCGAATTGTTCATTGGGAATTGCTTTTATTTCTGTGAGGTATTTATTTAGTCGATTGAGTAACAATCTTTCAAAAATTTTTGATATTGGGGGAGCAAACTGATGGGTCTATAGTTTTCTCTCAATCTAGGATCTTTTCCTGGTTTGCGGAAAGGTAGGATGAGGGGGGTTTTCCATGCATTTGGGAAGTGATTTAGGCGTAAGATTGCATTAAATATTGCCGTGAGAGCGGCAATAGTGTTTTTGTTTAGTTCCTTTATCATTTTGTTATTTATTTCATCAATCCCTGGGGATTTTCTTGTTTTTAAACGGCTGATAACTTTTGAGACTTCTGATGGAGAGATAAACTTAATTTTCGTTGTTACTGAAACCTGGGGCTCGTTTACAAAATCCTCGATGTTTTCATTGTGAGTTGGCATTGTTATTGGATGAGGTCGGAAGACTTTCTCTAAGTGATCAGCTAAAATTTCAGTTTTTTCTTCATCTGTATAGGCTCTTGAATTATTTGTTTTTAGAGTGGGTATTTCATTTCTTTTCTCCCGTGATACGTCTGACTGTTGACCAGAGATGAGCTGAATTTGCGCCTATTTGCTTTAATGATTGCTGAAATTTGGAATACCTGAATTTGTCTAGCTGTAATTTTACTATTCGTGATAATTTATTTAGTTTAGATCTGATATCGTGTCTACCTGTTTCTTGCCAGTATCGTCTTATATTTCGCTTGGATTTAATTAAATTTAATAATCGTATTGGAATGAACTTATTATAGCAAGCACGCTTTCTGCATTTTACAGTCGAAGCTTGTTGTAATGATTCTTTAATTGCTGTATTAAAGTTTTCGATTTCGAATTCTAGATATGATATATAATTAGTTTCTGGGGTATAAGTAGTTTTCTTGCATTAGGTATGAAAATTTAGGCCAGTTTACACTTGCTGTTACAGTCGTTTTTTATTTTATTTTCTTATACTGGTTTGAAAAATGTCATTAGTACTGGGTTGTGATCTGATTGAAGGTCGTCTAATACATTTTGGAATATGGGAAAAACTATGCTTTTGGTCATTAGTATATCTAAAATATCTGGAACTGTATGGAAAATGAGTCGCCGCTGTGGGAGCTAGTATACAGATTTTATTGTTTTGAGCCAAATTAAAAAGTCTTTGTCCCTGGGCTGTAGTGGTTGGACAACCCTAAACTGTATATTTACTAGTTAGGTCTCCCATCAATATTAGTCGGGGATATCTGTTAAAAATTTCCTTGTAAACGTAACAGGGAAAAGTTGTATTTGGTGGTTTGTATGCAGTTATTATTACTATTTCAGTATTGTTTACAAATATTTTTATTCCGACTGTTTTTAAGTTTGGCGAGGATGTTGTATGAACCTGTCCGTGCTTAATAGAATTTGATATCAAAATTGCTACACCACCTGACGCAATTTGCGATATCCTGTCGTTTCTACACATTTTGTAGCCGGGAATAATTAATCTTTCTCCCGGCGAGAGGTGGGTTTCCGTGATAGCTGCTATTTTAATTTGATTACTCTTTATGAAATATATGAATTCATTTTCCTGACGCTTAATGCCATTTGCATTCCAGGTAATAAGTTTTAATTCTCCGCAATTACTTCCCCTGGTTTAGTTTTTCTAAGACGTTATGAATTATAGTTTGAATTTGGGGGATAATAGCATTTAATACTTGAGTTGTAATATTAGAGAATAGGTTTGATAAGTCTTAAGGTTGAAATTGTAATCACGGTGCTGCTAGAGGTTGTTCGGGAGTGGAGGAAATTGAGTGGGGTTTCTTGGAGGCGGGTGGTTCGTTATCTGTTCTTTGCGAACTGGAGCAGTATGCCCTCCTTGCGTTTTAGAGATAATTTTAAATTTTTGAGATAATTCTAAAGCCTTTTTGTATTCTGGGCAACCTTTATAATTAGAAGGATGATTTTTTTTTGCAGTTTACGCATTCTGGAGACATTTTTTTAGATTTTCTACACTCTGAATAATGGTGATTTCCGGTGCATTTCACACACCTGGGATTTAGCCCACAATTAGCCTGTGAATGCCCAAACCTTTGACGTCGTTTGCGTTGTATTACACTTGAAGCAATACGTTTTTGAACTTTTACTACACTGTAAAATAATCTACCTAGGTTGAATATTCATCTGCCTTGGTAATTTTCCTCCAAATCTATTGCACAAACCGGGATTGGGCTCCTATCTTTGTTATAAAGTCTACAAACTTTCAAGATTGGATAATTTAGAATAATTAGTGGGCAAGTCTTTTATCACTACATGCAAATTATTTTTGATGCCTTTAAATGAGTGAAATTGATTTTTTTGATTTCACAAAACTGAAGCAGAAGAAGAAGAAGAAGAAGAAGAAGAAGAAGAAGAAGAAGAAGAAGAAGAAGAAGAAGAAGAAGATCAAGAACAACAACACCAACAACAACAACAACAACAACAACAACTCGTGAGTCAGCGCAGACCACGGCGTTCACAGTGTTAATAGAACAAGATAAAGAAATGTAACGTCACGCTACGTCACAAAGATGACCACCATCACCAACAATTGCAATAGAGGTGGCATTGGTAGTATTGATAATTGCCAATCCGGGGAAAATTAACACAATGTCAAGAATATTTGGTCCTGTAGATTGCGAAGTTAGAAAATGTTTCTTTGATGCCTCTCGTCTCAAAATTTTAGTTTTTAAGGTCATAAAACGTTTGTTTAGGACTTACTTCGCGATATAACTGTGTGTTGCGGGTTGCTATTGACTTGAATATTTAGAAGCCTTTTTAAGCAAATCCTGTATATTTGTACAGACAAACTGCAATTCGTCCCGTCTCTGCAAAATTCTCTTTCTTTAGAGACTTCATTTATAACTATCGGTTTTGTGTGAGAGCCACAAAAGGTAGGTATACTACTGAAATAATATAGGAGACGATTTCACACCAACTACGAGCCACGAGGAAAATTGAAAGAATGGTATGAAAAATAACTAATTTAATTTTAATTCTAATATACTATTCAATATGCCAATATGAGTTCTATATTATATACAATATATACAATTATTTGTGAAGGCTAATAATTAAGCCAAAATATGTTTCCCTGTAAACAGAGAGGAGTTTTATTCACTTTGATCAACTATTATTTACATTATTATACAAAACCTATTTACAATACTTTGTTCTTACATGTAAACAGAGAAACGACAATTCAAGCTTACTACTACCATTTCTCTATTTCCACCACTTATTTTAATTACAGTATATCTTTCTCATAAACTTTCAATCTATACTCGTGCCTATCTAAATTTCTTCTAATGATCGTACTACTCATTCCATCTAGCGGTTCTAAGTCTAACTATGCGCTAAGGGCGGGAAGCGCGGCATATTTAAATTACAGAAGATATATTTTCTTGACATATTATATGTTGCATATATATAATATAATATATATAATTACTGAATTTATATTCTCAATTCATTGATTTTTTTTAAGCGATCTGTAAAGCTTAATAGAAATACCGCCGATATCGATATTCGAAAAGCTAATTGTTGTCGAACGTCCACATGATGTTGGCGGTAAGATACAGCTGTTTTATTAAGTCCAGCTGGTCGTGGTGTATTTCCTAGATTGAAAGTCAGTACTTCCGTTTGCGATGAATTTTGCAGCATATTTTTTATAAATTACTTATCAGAATGCCCGGTGAGGTATGTTATACGTCATTTAATATCATCTGATCCCTAAAAAAATTACGCTTATAGAATAAAAGAAAACGATGAAACGCTATCGGAACTGTTATCTTACGACGAATGGTATCTCACGAGAGGGCAATCAGAATTTTCGTAATTATTTTGATGCAAATTGCATATATATATATATATATATATATATATATATATATATATATATATATATATATATATATCAAATAGTTTTGACAACTGCGCTGACAGTAGTGCATTGCTCGTTTCTTGGTTGAATTGGGACGTTTTCAAATAATAGCTGTGGTGCTAGTAGCGCAGAATAAGATATATTTGAATATTACGTAACAGTTTCCAACAACGCGAGGAAGTATGTGCTGTTGTAGCGCCACTACTTTATCATCTGCGGGCCCGAGCCTCATCGGCCTGTGCCCAAAGGCAGCCCTGATTGCAATACTTTCTCTACAGTGCTTAAGCAGTATGCGACCAGAAAGTATATTAGACAAAGTAATAATGTATTGTGTGTCTCCCCCACCTTCGAAAGTGAGAGCCCTTTGCTGGGGCCTTGCTTTTTCATGCCTGAAGTTGACTACAAGAGAAAATCATTTGTTTACTTTCGTTTTTTGACCTGTGCATTAAGCTATTTTATATTTCGCGCGTTACGCTGCTTTCGCATTCGTATGTCTTTTGAAAGAGCCGGTTCATGCTTGTTCAAAAGTGCCGTTGGGCGCAGTGGATGCGTGTTTATCGTAATTTAAATCGTTTAAATGCTTTAAAGCTCTTGCTTGTCAAAAAAGGTAGCATTTTTTCTACAATCGTCTCGTCAAAAAGTGCAACAATTGTTTGTACATGGGGTGATAATAATTCCCAAAGGTTCTCTGTTTCTAAAAGGAATGAGGTTTATAGTTTCTCAGTTTGTGGACATGTATTATTTGACTGTGGAAGGAATAAATGCAACTAATAACATTTTTACTTCTGGACTCCAACTAAGTTATTTTATTGGCCAGTGTATTGTTGCAGCATGTACTCGCATTGTGGAAATATTGTATGCTGCCTTGCAGTTGACGTTTTCAGTTACTTCCATTCTGTACGAAGATTACTGTTTCTTTGTCGTTGATTTTATTTCGAAAGTCAAGTGGATATTCAGTGGATTTAACTACATAATCTTTAGGATTTGGACATGTGTTCAGCAGTTTTTGGCAACTTTAAAAAATTTATTTGAATATGTAGGGTATTGTTTCCATGCAAACTTGGAGTTCCTTGTGACTATTGTAGGAAAAGGTGGTTCTTCTTTGTACTACACTGTGGAGACAATTAAACAAGCTTTAATTTTTACGGGCAGTAGCATTTGGAATTTTGTAAGTGTTGTACCTGTTGGTATTATTTATACCATTACATTATCTTTACATTTTATTAAAGAGGGTGTGTTAGAATTATATCTCACAGTAAGCAATGTGGGACTTGCTATTTTAAATTCTGTGCACAAATTGGTTTTATTTTTTTCTGACATACCTGTGGAAGCAGCTTTTGGCCTATTTCTAGGCCTTATTGCATTTTGTTTGGTGATGAAACATTTTAATGGTCTTATTCGGTTGTCAGTGGATGTAATAGTTTCAATTTGTTGCTGCCGCGCAATAAATGGTTTGTGGATTCTTGTAAAAGATTTTTTGTCACCTCTTTTTCCTAATCGTAGAGATTCTGATGCTGTTTGGGAGTTTTCACAAGAAAGGCAAGTTCCTGTAGAACCTTGTTCTTCAAGTGCATGTACAGTCAGATGTTGTGATCATGAACATGAGCGTGCCAGTAAATTGTGTATTGTATGTCAGGATAAAGAGAAGTCTGTGATTATTCTTCCTTGCCGCCATGTGTGTTTATGTACAGTGTGTTGCACTATTATTCAAGAGGAGTATGGTGCATGTCCTGTATGTCGACAGCGGGTAGAGAGAACAATGACTGTATATATGTAACGCAAAAAAATTATTATAATTTTGTTTTTAAACACATTTTTCAATTTATTTTTGGTTCAATGTTTGTTTGTTTTTCTTTTAATTTTACTTGGTTTGTCTTTTAAGTAAAATTGTCTAGCATTATTACTGTTTGCTTTATTATAATCTTGGAGAATTGAATGGTATTTCCAACTGTAATTGGATTTCTGTTCACTTCAGCCTTTCCTTAAGAATATATCATTGTATTTCCTCAAGAGAACCACTGCCTGCTTGTTGAAATCCAAAACTGGAAACTGTTCTGAAGTTTGTTTTATATGAATATTAAGTGTCTATTGGAGAAGATATATCTAAATATATAGAGTTCAATATGGCTCGCTATCGTGAGCTGTGCAATAACTATATTAGGTAATACACTGCCATTATTGTGTGCTGTGATTCTTTATGATTCACAAATGGTTTATCAACCTCTTTAAGGAAAAATCTCAGACATATTTTCCAATACTCATTGTGTGTTCAAATGTGTCATGCCACTCCTGATGGTTGCATTTGTAGTGTGGTATTTCTATTAAAATTATTTGTTACTTTCAATTAATTGAAGGGCCTAGCTTAGAATGAATTCAGGTTATTTGATATTCGAAATAAATTATTGGAAGGATTTTTAACTCCAGAACCCATATTAACACTTGGAGGCTTAGTGTTATTACAAATACATTACAAATAAATTGTGTTTCTTGCATAACATTCCAAGTCTTTTTTTGGCATTGGATGTGAGCAGTACTTCTTGAACATAGTCGTATATGAAGCCAAGTCTTAGGTCATGGCCTTTTATCCCTCTTGCCCAGGGGTTTCCTTACAGTCCTCCAGCCATCTGCCCAAAACATGTGGAGCTACATGCTTAACTTATGTAACTTCTCAGAACTATCTTAAGAATTTCTGCTCCCGGTACATTTTATTTTTGATGTTTTTTCTTCATTGTTTGATTTACCTCTGTAACCGATTCTGATGTGATATGCTTCAAGCATTCTTGTTGAGGTACTGTAGAGTACAGAAATATGTAAAATTACTGTGCGGTACAGTCATTTTTGTCAAGATAAAGAAGGTAATAATTTATCAAATGAATAATGAATTTCCTCTTATCAGTAAGAACACTTGTAACAGTCCAGACAGTTTTGGGTCCCTGGCGAAAATAAAATTCAAATCCCCCAATCCCAATTAAAAAAAAAAAAATTGCTTTCTCAAAGAAAGCCTTGGTTTCATTTTTTTTTTTAATTAAATATAATTATTTGAAAGTATAGCATTACATGTTAATCCAGATATTTTTTTTGCCTGAAACCATATATTTATCGATTAAACTGTATATTGTTAAAGGTGGTGATCTTTTTAAAAAAAACAACCTTAACCATTTATTTGTATATTACTCATTGAGAAATAACCCAACAGTGATTCGATAAAGAAACTTTTATTAAATATTTTTAATATATTTAAAAAAATAAAAGTATGAAGTAATGTATTGAATTTATTATAAGTCTCAAATAAATTGCACATTTAATTCGGTAATTGACTTCAGTTCATAAAATCATGATCACTATTTTTTCTGCTTATCCTGATCGGGTTGCATTTCTTTCATTATTTTATGATATATAATTACCAACTTGTAAGAAAACAATGTATTGTAATATTTAATCTAGTCATTTCTTGAAAATCTGTGGACTATCGCTCTCCCATTTTCTAATGATTTTTTTATTTTTTTAATTTGCATAAAACAACGTAATTTCTGCATACCTAAAACTATATTAATTTAGAAGTATATATAAGTTGAATTAATGTTTTCGCAATGGGATTCTGGAGTTAAATTGTTCTCTGTAATGCAGATAATTCAGAGGAATGGTATTAATTTAGAGGGATATTAGTTATTACTATTATCTTTAGAGAAGATGGTTTTGATATATGTCATTGTGTATGTAACCTCTGTTTCAAATTTAGGTTATTGTATCTTGATGTTTTTATGTGTTACAAACTTGTAGAAAAGAAATGTAGTAATAGTGTTATTTAAACTAAGAAATGAAATTTTAACCAGATCTGTTGATAAAGAAATCTGGATTGTGTAAATATAAATTCAAAAGTCCTTATGAAATTAAGTGAAAACAATTTATTTCTAAATATACAGGTCACTTTAATCTTTCTACAGCAGTCCAAAGCAAGTATGTTTGTGCAGTTTTGATTATATTGACCTATACCAACTAATTAATCATAACAAATTAGTAAACGTTGAGTAAATCTACTTTTTGCTTCAGTAATTTGAGTGCAATATTATAATAGTAATGAGTAAATTTGGTATATGAATGTAACATTGAATATATTTGTTGAAGCAGAAAAATATATTTTTATATATCTTGTGTGTACAGAAGCCTTTCTTCGTTCTCCAAAATGTATTTGGACATTGGTGCTTGGAAAACATTATAAAAGTATATTATATTAGTAATTTCTTAACTGGCAAACAACAAAATTATACTGTCAGCTGTATCTAACATATGAATAGTTTCTTTGTTATTTGTTTTCTGTAAAAATTACTATTTGTATTTATCCTTTCAAGCAATGTACTAATGTTCTAACTGAATGGGGCACTGGAAATATATGCAGTTTTCAGCAGAAGATAAAACTGTTGAATGGAAATTTTGTATATTTAATATATAGGCTTAAGACTTTTAGGGACACATTTTATGAAATGAATGCCTGAAGTTAGTTCATGAGATGGTATCAATACGTGAAATGTTCCATATTATTGAAAATGAATGTAACTCTAGGGTACCTTTCTTCCCTCTCTTAGAACTGCAGGTCCCCTTCTGCTCAATTCTATTCATTTTCATCTCTTGTAACGTAATATTTAAGATTTTTCTACAATTCATTTTATAGTATATATTTGGTATAGTGAATATTTCAAATTCATTGAATTGCAATTTGTATTCCTTATCAAGAAAGTGAACCCATGTGTGAATAATGTGATAATTAGTTTATTTTAATTTCAGAACCTAATTATTTTAAACAAAGGTTGGAATGATTATTTTTATGAGTGAAATTTTAAAGAACTTAGTGTACTGCTTGTAAAGACCCCCAGCTCAGCCCAAACAAAGGCATCTCCAAAACTATAAACAAATAACTTAGATTGTTAGATATAAAATGCTGCAGAAGGTTTCATTTTGTATAATGTTAGAAAATATATCAGATCTTGCAATTATGATTTGCACAATTTTGTTTGTGTTTTTTAAAACTAACTAGTGGTCCTACAGAATGGCATAGACTTTCTCCTGAGTTAATGTTCTATTTTCTTTGCCTCTGCTAACTGTTTGGGCTTGGCACAGTCTTTTGCCATCAACCATCTATCGCCGCCTTAAGTACATTTTTTTTGAAATCATCTCATTTTTTCAGTTTTCCAATAGCCGAACTGAAATATTGCTTTCAGAATATTAATGAAAAGTAAAACCTTGTCCTAAATGACAATTTTCATTGAAAAATTTGGAATTGTTTCTAAGAAAATGGCCTTTAAGCGTTACTGTAAACGCGAAATATGAAGCACTTTTTAACCGAAATTTTTTAAGAGATATTTTAAAAAAATTACATTTGTCTATTTTTTCAAAAAGCAAAAGATTACCCCAAAATGAACATTGTCATATTAAACAGTGCAATTAAAGCTATCTGTTGGAGAAGTTTGAAGTAAAAATTTGGAGCCATTTCTGAGAAAAAGACGTTTGAGCATTTTTGAAAATGTGGAATTTTGAGTTCATTTTCAAGACACGTTCAGATTTTGAGAAACTTGATATGATATAATGTACTCATAAATACAATAATGTAAACAAATCACTGCTAATGTAAATATTACCGACGTGACAGACAAGTCAAAAAATAAATTTTATGAGAAAACAAAGGAATAGAGAAATGTGTCGTTTTATACAGTTAATTTATCACTACTACCAAAAGTTAAAAGAAAAAATTTGGAGTAGTTTTAAGAAAATCTTGTCTTTGTAATTTCTATTCAATTGCACGCAATAGTGTGCGGAAACTACTTACAAGTTGTAAAAAAATGTACATAACGTTCTTGAAAGAACGAACTATAAATAAATATCTTTATTGATGGCGAGGCTCAGGCGTTTATCCTTCTCTTCCGCCTGACCATAAAACTATGGAGAACAAATTTCAATTGAAGAAAAAATCTTTATCTTCAATTTTATAGTTGTAGAAAGATGCTGAAAAAAATCAAAATTTTGCAATTTAAGTTAACAGTGAATATCGGACCTCTGGTATCTTTTATAAGTGTATTTTACTCTACTCTTTCAAAAAATGAAAGAAAAAATTTAGAACCTTTTTTTTTTTTTTTTTTTTTTTTTTTTTTTTTTTTTTTTTTTTTAATTGAAAATGTCCCAGGGGCTTCATGTAAAGTACCCCCCAATTTGAAGAAAGCTTTTCAAAATCGCAGCGCTTTGAGTCAAGCTAGATCGACCGGGAAATAACCATTTTGGAAAAAATCCTACGTATGATTTAGGTGCTAGTATTGTTCATGGACAGACATTTTGAAGTAAAAAGCAAAACAAACAAACACTTTTTTGGTATCATGGGACCCCAAAACGTGAATTTCCATTGAAATTTCAAAATCTATTTTTCACAGAATTACCCAACTTTCTCTATTCTCTGTATACGTTCACGTACACGTGTACGAGGAAGTAAAAACTCCTGTTCAATGTGCACAAATTGCAATTCAAGATCAGCCAATCGACCAGATTAATTTGGGTTATAACTTTCTAAATCTTCCAATTTTATTTTAAAATGATAAAATTGTAGTTCCATTAATATTTACATGTAGTTTGGTCATGCAAGTGGTTTGAAATTAAATTTGCTTGAATCTAGTGCACCAGTGCAAGGGGTCGACCCTTATATCTACCATTCTAAGATAACATGTTTTCAAATGTGTTTGAATACCTGGAGGAACTATTCAAAGAGATAGTCTCGGAGCAATATAATCAAAATATATTTACTATTTTAGATTATTGAAAGAGACCCAATTTTTAATTTTTCAGAGGCTTTAAGTAAACATGTAATGCTAATTGTATTGATGTTTGTTAATGGATCATGCTGTTATCACTGCCAATGTGGTTCAAATTTTCATAGAAATACAAAGATTATCTGAACTGATACAGATGCACCATTTGTCACCGCTTTTTTCAACTGTTAGAAAAAAAATAGTGTTTATTGATTACAGTATCACATATTTTCTCAATGAACTTACAGCACAATCACTCTAAGGATTATCAAAGGTTGCAGCACATTTGGATAGCTGTTCGAATCATAATGATACCAAAGTTACCTCGGGATTCAACCATCCTATCATTACTTTCAATTTGATATATTTGAATGTAATTTCAGTGAGAAAATTGAGATAAAAACATAAATAAGATAGGTTTATTTTCTGTGTATGAAATAATGTGAAATCTCTGAACCAGAAAATTAAATTGATTTTGCTCTTTCTAACTTGCTGGACTGAAAGTGTATTTTACTTTTAAGTTTAGAAAGAAGTAAATTCAAATTGGTTAATCACAATTACTTATTTTGATTAGAAGGACCCAGAGAGAGAACTGTGATGATTATGATTTTATTAGACAAGAAAATATTGGTATTTTGGATGAATTTTAAAAACGTTGCTTAATGCATGTAAGATATTAATATGCAGAATGAAGTCGTAGGCTTCCGTGATTGGCCAGCGTGGTGCGACCCGGGGTCGGGCGGCGTGCCCGAGGAAACGGCCTCCAGGCATCGTGAAGGCGCAACCCTGCGTCGCCATTAATATTGCGGGGGTGTCTGGTGATCTCCATCGCTTTCTTGACGCGTCTGGGCCATAGAAAATATGATGGAACGAAATGAGCGAACTCAAATGGGAGCGTCGCCACTGTTGTGCACGTTCAGACATGTGTACATCATGTACAAACGTGATCTACTACTACTTTAGAACTACCACAATTGTGAGATAGTTCTGAACAAGTGAGCACGTCATTGTGAGTGCTTTGTTTGCATAAATTATTGTGTATTTTATATGTACATATTTATTTAGGGGGGAAAAACAGTAAAAACTATGTGACGTATGGGGGAGAAGATTATCTGCGCACGTTTTCTTGAGTTCCAGAAACCCTTCCCGTCATTTTAACTATAAATAGTTGAAAGAGGAATAAAAGTTTAAAATAAATAAATAAAAATAAATTTTGAAAAATCGCGAAATTAGCAATATTTGATAAAAAACATTTTCGTTTCCGAGGTATAGAAAACTTCTTTGCATCGGAAAACGAATTGCAAGTATGATTTTTCTGCATTGTTAACAAAATAGTAACTCGCACTTGTCTCTACTCTTAACATTACAAGCAAAAGGAGAGTTAAAAAAAACGTGCGCATAGTGAAGCTACATTTACGTCCAGAAGCAAAACAAGGAGCCATCTCAACATTTGCTCAATGCATCACGGAAAATGAAGAAAATTCTGATCGAGAAGGGAGTCGTTAACCCGGAAGCTGAAGTACATTATTTGTTACAAAAATATTAAGTCTTTTTTTTAATGTATACAATACTAATGTAAACTAATTCAATATATCACTGTTTTGTTAAAATAAACATTTTCCGTTTTGATAATCAGTATAGTCTCTAATTGTATTGAAACAGCAGTACAAATATTACGCAGCAGAAAATATTTTACTTTCAACTTAAATTTGTGAACCGACTTCAATTATTTAATGTTATCTGGCAATGCGTTGTAAAGTAACGTACATATATTGTATGTGGATTTCTGATTGTGAGCTGTTGATACTGACACTTGATGAACGTGATTCTCTTAAGCACCGATACGATTATTGCTCGTTTTGAGCAGCACCAGATACGTCACGAAACATTTTGAACGTGACACAAAAGTGACAATTTTCATCAGTAACCTACCAGAAACAACACGATGAACGTATAGTGAAATAAAGTTTACATTTTTTTTAAATGGTTCATTTATGTTTTAATGACTTGTATCGAGGCAATAATTATTTTGGTAGCTGGCTTCATTTAAAATTCCCGCTAATATTGTAACATAAGCTGGAAAATGAAGCTCATTGGGTGAAGACGGATAGATTTCATAGAGGCTTACCAATATCAATGTATTTCCACTACGGGCTCACCAATTGCATTATGGCTATGGGTTTCGCCAATCGTCGTGTTGTCGTTGATTCGACTCTCGATGATTCGAATCGAGGGCTGAGGACAACACTGGTGAAACGTGTTTCGGAGTTGTGAACATTTGAGATCTGTTAGTGATGCTGGTTGTTGCTTTTTCAAGGATTGTTCGTTTACGTTGTGCTTATTGTAATTTTATATCTGGGGATTAGAGTAGGTGTTTTACATTTGTGTATCTTTAACACTTTAGTTTTGTTTAGTAATGGTTCGTTTCAAATACAGGTTAGTTACTGATTTTATTTATTAATTTAACAACTATTATAGCCTATGACCACATTTCACACTCTTCAACAGAATCATCCGTAACATCCTTTTTCTAGAAGCTCATCCCCTAGTTTCATTCAGTCTCTCTCTATTTAACTGAAGGAGCTTATTTAGTATGTTGTATCTTATTATACATAGAAATAGTACATGGATTGCAAGTGATATTTCATTATCCTTGTACTGGTTTCTGTTTTAGCCACACTGTATTTGTTATACATCTAAATTAGGTATTGTAGCAATTAACCAATCCCTGAAAATATGTCCTGGTGTGTTGGCAGCAAGTTTCCCAATGTTGTCTGTTCTTCATTCAAATGTTTGAATTGTGATGTGTTACAGGTACTTCACTGTAAAGATGTCACTGCAGGTAAAAAAATTAAATCTTGTTGACCCTTTTTACATCAAACAAGAAAGTATTACTACAGCTTTACGTAACAAAATTAAAGAATTGCATGGAGATTATGGTGTAGCTGCTGTTGAGTTTGGGCTTCAGGGTATGGATGAAAATAAAAGAATTTCTTATTCATTTTTATTCTTAATAAACGGTAAACTAAATCTTTTTGTTTGTTTGTTTTTAGTGAAATATTGTAATCCTCATACACAAATCATGTTAATTCGTGCCCAGCATGGTGCTCATAGGTATGTTGCTTCTGCTTTACCTTTTGTAAAGCTAATTGATGTTCATCCAGTAACATTGAAAACATTGTATACTGGTAGTAGTTTACGTCATTGTTTTATTTTTCTTACGGTAAGTAATATTTTTTAAATCTGTGAATAGCTTCCAAAAAATTATTTGTTAAAATTATTTTTAAACTAAATATATCATGCTCATTAGTAGAATATTTACTGTACCAAAAATACTAAGGTTTAAAAGAAATAACATATTTAACTTAGATTTTTAATATTTAATTTTTCAAATTAAAATATGTTGTGTTATTGAATAAGGTGATATGTGTCAAACTCAAAAAATAATAAAATTTGACTAATTCTGGATTGTTGAATATTTCAGCGTTATCAAAAGTTTAATCTGAAGAAAATTTGGCACTTACTACAAGAAGAGCAAAAAAAATTAATGGAATCTGCTTTCTTGGATGTAAAGTTTGATAAACTGAAAGAGGAAATGAAGTAGAGAATTTGAAACACTTGAGAGCGAGGGGTGGAGAAACAGATTTACAAAGGGAGGGGAGCTGGGAAGGTGTGCGGAACACCTGTCGCACGTGACATAAATGTTAATTTTATTAAACTAATATCATTTAGAGAATTTAAGTGTTTCATTGTGTACTATAATTATTTTGATAACTTTTCCCTTCTATATGTTAAAGTAATCTTATTGTTTTTTGTATGATTAATAAGATGACTGACAGAAAACTCCCTTAAATGTGCCATTTCATAGAAAGACAGATCAACTAATGAATGAAGTTAAGCTTGCTTTGAAAACCAAAGATAGAATCTTATTAGTCTAATAAGTCTACTAGCCACTTATTTCCTAAAATGTTTTAATAATTCATACAGCTGATTGAAAATGAAAAATAACAACAAACAATTTAATAATTTAGAGAAACAGGTATATCTCCTTCAAGCAAAACCGAAGACTTATCAAGCCAAGAACGTTTTTAATGTATGATGCACAGAATGTAGAATTTAATTGATTTTGCTTTCAAAGAAAAGAGGAAGAAACTGGAACTTGAGCAATCTACCGGCCAAGGTGTGTGTATTGGTGTTGGTTTTTTATAAGGCTGCCTACAAAAAAACCTTTTTGACCTATTTCATTTTTGGAGGATTAATTGTGGGTACTCCTGCTCCATAGCACTGGTGGTCACAAATGTGCAATATTGACTATCTGATAATCTATGTGATTTAAATTACACAAGTGTAAGTCTTTTTGTGTCAATTCTTACCCACATGAGCCCTGAATCTGTGAACGGCTCAGGGCTCAGCAAATCATCGTTAGGTTCTTGTACAATGGCATTTTTCACACTGAAAACTGTTTATAAAGTATAGAATATCACAGGTTTACCTAGTATTCTAATTGTCATTTAGTTGTATTCAGTTTGTATACAGAGCATGTTAATATTCTTTGTAAGTTTGGTTTTTCGACAACCTATTTTTGTACCCCAATCAAATGTATAATTTGTTAAGGAGTTTCTGGGTTTATTGTTGATCAGGAGAATAATGATGAATACCACTGTTCAACAAGAGAGAATTTTCTTTTGTGCCAGTATGCGTCAAGATATTGAGGGTGAGAAATTCAAATCTGATATTAGAAATCTATTAGACATGGTTTTTTAGTTACTAAAAAAAAAATTGTCTAGTTTAACGACTCTTTTACTTTTAATGAAAATATACATTAATTCTGGTGTCCCCTTGCACTAAAAAAATGTTTTTTAACATATTCTGTAGACATCTGTGAACAACACAGTGCTGAACCATTTATAGGGCTTTTTCCAAAATGAATTTGGCTTGAGTCGAGGCCCTGCAATGTGAAAAGAATTCTTTAAATTTTGGAATTACTTTACAAGAAGCCTTTGAGATGTTTTAAACATTTTCTCCAAGATTATTACAAATTTTTGCTTTAAATTTTTTGCTATCCTAGAGTGATATACACTTTTTAAGATGATCCTGTTCTGATCCGATTTTCTCAGTTACCTCTAAATTTTTGAAAATTATAAAAGCTAAATATTTTTTGGACCGCTTTGTTTGACTATGTATTTTATTGAAGAGAGATATTTTCTTTGAATGAAATTTGTTGTACACCATTAGTTGTTCAATTAATGTTATGTGCAATTCGTTTGAAATATTAGTGCCAAGTCATAGTCTTAAGAGTTCTTCTCAATAATGGGATTATAATGCCTCTGTCCCAATTATCTACTTCAATATGACTAAAGAGTCATGATTTTTGAAGCATATGCTCAAATTATTGAAAAACAATGAGCACAAGTGGGAAATTTGAAAGTTCTTTCCTGAGTGGTGGAAATGCAACATGGATACACCAAAAGCAGATATGTTGTGGATAAGTGGGTTGACCGCAACAGAAATATTTGGCCTGAATAGACAATGGAAGAAAAAATATTCAGTAAGATAACATTTTAGGTATTGATGTCCTACCTCCACTGCACATTGAGCTAGGACTTAAAAACTGTATGCCAAACATGAATCCATATGGATATGGGTTTATTTATCTTTCGTACAAACATTTCTACATCTTTTGGCCAAAAACATAAAAGTGTGTTTGTCATCCGTCAAATTAAACTTCTGAAAGATTCAAAGGGACTTTTGCCTGGCACCAAGAGAAAAATACAGTTATGTTTCAAGAATGTTACTGAAATTGTCTGGGGAAAAAACAACCAGCAACCATTAAGAATTGATACAACAGCTCGTAATTGCATTTAAGGATTAGTGCAAAAGTCCTTCAAAAGTGCATTTTTTAAATACACATTTGTATTATTTTTCTTAGAACTGTAATAATGTTTCCTGTAGACAAGGGTGAAAGATTTCATAAAGATTTTTTAAAAGCTGCTTTTAGGGAAATGGATGCTGTCAATGCTTGCAGACTATTGCTGGAAGATTATTAGAGAGGGCAAAACTGATCACCAGCAAATAAATAAGATTTTGATATTCTGCAGGGAAAAAGACGCTTGTTGATATATTGTCTGAAAATGGGTTTTAATATCTTGCTTTCTGCTTACAAAGTACAGAGAAAGTATTGTTATGCTGCAGGGGGGAAATTGAGATTTTTTTTTAGACAAACTGGTATTGCTGGGTCCTGGAAAACTAGAATTTCCTCAAACATGTATAGTCAGAATTCACATTTGGTGTGTACTTTGATACATGAAAAATAATTATAGCAATACCTCGATAAACAGGAAATGGAAATGCATTTTCATCGAAATGGATATCCCCCGATCAATCTCTCTGATTTCTCTGTGAATTGGAAACAGATATTTTGGTGTGTGTGTGTGTGGGGGGGGGGTCACATGAAGTGTCACCATTTTCAAAAATTTCTCAAAAATCACTCTGTATTTTTCTTTAAATATTTTCCTCTGAGGAAGCAAAAGTCTCATAAATAAATGGCATAGGTCTCATTTTTATTGCACTTCGTAAATTTTTGAAAATGGCTAAACTTCAAAATTTTTAATGAATTTTCCTTCAACTACAATAGTAAAGATACTGATTCGTCTTCTGAAGGAAGTCTTTTCTTTAAAATTACATCTTTAAAGAAAGTGATGTAATTTTTTTTCAACCAAATGAAATATTACTTTAATATAAAAATACTGTATTTAGATTTTTTTTATTGAATTGTTGATCATATTACTTTTTTTGGCAATATCAGTGATGGTACTTGTAACAAATATTATTTTAAGTATTTGATTGATAGTGTGACTCATGAGATTCAGTAAATGAAACGCCCAATATGATAAGAATTTCTGCCCAAACAATCCATACCAGATATTGTTTCATTCACTGTATTAAAATTTTAAATCCGCTATTAAACATAAAACAAATGCATACGCTATTTGAGATTGGCCATGAGGATACTACGTAGTTATACATTAATATTGTATTGTCGTAATACTTCCAAGTTCGAAATAAAAATAACAGGTTGATAGAGATTCAAATTCAAACCTCGTTTAAGTTTGGAATTGACATTGAAACAAAATAAATGTTGCAATTTAATATTTAATCAAACATTGCTTTATTTACAGCATTCGTGTCTAGTGTTCTCAGGTCATGTAAGAAATAGTAATGAGAAGTGGCCTACAGCAACAGTAATGTTGTAGAACAATATGGCACTGGAATAAAGAAAAATAATATTCATAAACGGAGACCACAGTTAAGAGTTGACTGATTCTATCCTACATTGAAATAAGAATTGTGAAATGCTTGCATTGTTCATAATGTATTAGGTTTTGGGTGTTTTATTTTCACGTCCACGGGTTTAATTTTGAAGGGTTTTTTGCTTCACATGGCTTTCAAATAACAGAATTGAAAAATTACTTCAAATTAAACTAGTAAATGTGAAGACTCAAGGGTGACATTTCACTTGGGAAATAATTGACTTTTTAACATTAAATAAGGATATTGAAATTTTCAGTTCGTGCTGTTAATGTATTTTGCTGTATCTCTATAGTAATAAAATTGTGGAGTTATTCTAATTTTGACACCATCGGATATAGTTAGCCAAAAATGTAAATTCCCGGAAGCTCACTATAAACGACTGTACTCCCTACCAATATTTAAGGAAATCTCACACCAATACAGTTGTTAAAAGAATTTTGGCTGCACTGTTGCACAGCTTCAATGGCAGCGTACCGCCTGGCCACCTTTCGATCTTGCCAAAACCTGGATGTCGCAAGGTGACTGGCCCAGGCTGTACGTACGATGTGCGAGCAGTTACCAGCACAGATATTGAATGGATGGTGTCTGTGGAGTGCTAAGTAGTGTGGTCGCGCAGTGTCTTGCATTGATATGACATCTCTTAAAGTTTCGGTCACATGTTTTTCATACCACGACGCAAATCGGTTCTAAAGATTTCGAAGTATCGAGAGTGGAGCGGAGTATCTCCTTTCCTCATGAATTTGCAACAAAAAGGACCCTGAAGTTCAAAGAACGGCATGGCAACGCGTTCCCTACCATTGGAAAGTTTCTCAACTTTTGAGGTCGTAGTGCCTCAAGCCTGCACTGTAGTTCGTAGTTCTTGCAGTATGTTTCATCCTGTCGAAACGTTCCAAGAAAACATATTATTCTTGTTCATGTGGCACTAGCCCTATGCGGTGATGTTTCTGCTTACTTCAAGACACTTTTGCGCAGCAAAAAGGTTTTTCTATGGCGCCGCATATGTTACGCTCAGCGAAGTCGGCTTTGCACAATTTATAATCGTCCAACGCCATCGACGGACTACAAAATCGTGTGAATGTGCTGTTGTCGGAAAGGGAATTACGCTCTGGGATGCGTCAGATAGGTGAAGATGAAAAATTTAGAGTTGCGTAGATTATACTGCAGAGGCATGGAAAAATTTCTTTTCAGAAACGCAGGGCTTGTAGTCGGACTAAATGGAGAAAAAAATCATTTTGAGGAAAAAATTCTAAGAATAGTTTAGTCTAGTGTTGTTCACGGACGGGTGGACGTTTTTGAAAGAAACAAAAAACGAAAATCAACCAAACCCTTGTTGGGTTCAAGAGGACCTTAAATCGTATTTTCGTTAAAATCTCTTCATCGAATTTCCGCATCATTATATTTCTCTACACTACACTACATTACATTACATACTCTGGACACTGTATTACTCCGTATATACTCATGTGAAAAAGTAATACCTTCGCGAGGGTGAGAAAGTAAAAAACGTGTGAGTTGAAAAGATAAAAGATCGGCGAAAAAAAACTAAAAAAAAAAACAACAAACCGCAACTCTTAATTGACTCGTTGGCTTTTGGCGTTGACATAGCTACCACTTCCAAAACTTAGTGCGAGTACAACTGCTAAGATAAAGCGCCAAATCTCGTAAGTTGTTAAAGGAGGGGATGCGGAATGCCCATGAAATGCTTTGGCCTAGATACGAAATTATCAAACGTGACAATTAAACCATTTTTTGAAAGCACAACAGAGCAGCACGTTTTCCGGGAGCAGCGCGACCTTCCGGTCGACGAGCGGAGGGTGGTGGATAACAGGCGACGGGCTATTAAGTATTTTTTTTTAAATATACTAAACAAATGTAATCTAATATATATCACTGTTTTTCTAAAATATATATTATTTTTCTTTTTGATGAAGTTCGTATTGATGAATCAGTATAGTCTCTAATAGTATAGAAACAGTTATGCAGAAGAAAATATTTTATTTTAAACTTAAATTTGTGAACTAATGTCATCTGACAAAGCGTTGTAAAGTACATGTATTGTATGTGGATTTCTGATAGTGAGCTGTTGGTACTGACACTTGAACGTGATTTCTACGACGTGTGTTATAATTATAAATATCAGTATTGTATGAAAATATGTCTCCACCGTTAAGTTTGGACAAATATTACACTCGTAAATAAATAGGCAAGGCAGTAGTAAGATTCCAAGAAGAGATTGAATGAAGAGAAGCTTGCAGGGTCACAAGGATGGCATTTTTTCATTATTCGAATAATCTCAAGGTCTGGATACTACAAAATGAGCTTCCCCAGAAAAGTGTGCCGCATCTCAGGCAGATATGCACATTTGCAAAATACACGTAACGAGCTGCATGAAGGCTGACAGAATTTGAAAGATTTCTAAATGCGTTACATAATGAACTTTATTTAGTGTTTAATTCTGTTATATATACATTCCATTTGAGGTTTGAGTGAATTGAGAGACCTAGAAATTTTGTTACCTGAAAATCAGGTAATTGTATATTGTTTATTTTCAATGGTGATGAGATTGCTGATATGAAATGCAAAAATGCATTGAAACTGTTTTTCCTTCGTTAACTATTAATTTGTTATTACAAACCAATTTGAAACTTCTAAAACCGTACTATTTATGGTTTCTTTTGTACAAAGAACATTCGTCTCATCGGAAAACAACCGTTCTTCCGTTTTGAATAGACGAGGACATGTCGTTTACGTATAACAGAAAGAGAATATGACCTAAGATTGAGCCTTGTGGGACACTATATTTAATTGGTAAAGAATTGGAAAGATAAGTAAATAACGTCCTTTATGTGCCAGTACGGTATTTCTACTCTTTGAGAGCGATGTTTGAGGTACAAGGTTATCCAATCGTGGACAATACCACGAAAACCATAAGAAGGCAATTTTGATAGCAATATGTTGCGGTCAATAACGTCAAAAGATTTCGAAAGATCTACATGGGTGCTTCATTTTGGTCCATTAATGAAGCAACATCTTTAAGAAAAGAAAAAATGGCAGTTTCAGTATATTTTGATTTTCTAAACCCGTGTTGAGAGTCTGAAAACGCTTCGTTTCTCCTGAAAAAAGTTTTCATTCGCCTAGAAAAAAGTTTCCATTCGTATAGAAAAGCCTCTCTAACACTTCTGCGAAACCAGACAAGAGAGAAATTGGCCGGTAGTTTTGAATTTCATTTTTGCTCCCTATTTTAAAAAGTGGCTTAATTTTTGCTGCTTTGAAACCATGTGGAAATATTCCTGTGCATAAAGAAGCATTGAAAATGTGAGTAAACGGGTGTATAAAGGTAGGTATCCAAATTTTCAATAAACAATCCGGAAATTCATCTAAACCAGATGAATATTTATTTTTAAGTTTACTGACTATTCGTAAGATTTCGTTAGAAGTTTCGGAAATAAATATCGTGTCGAAAATTGTGGAGTCTGTTGTGTCAAAAACGTAATTCCATTAAAAAAACTTGAGGTGAAACAACAGCGCTTTCTCGTATTATTGGAAATAGTTACGTTAATTATAGAATCGTTTTGAAATTACAATTTCCGGCTTACTAAAAAGTCAGTTAAATTTTGAAAACATCGAATTCAACCACTTGAACCCGTTCCCAACAGGCGCTCAGCCTGTTGTATCTGCGGTTATCTCGACAGTCAGGAACAGTAGTGATTTGCAAATGATACAGAAAAGAAAGATTAATATTTCACACTAGCTTGCCTTGATCATGGAAGTGAGCCTACAATTACTTAATACTATAATCAGCGATTAAAACTTCGTAAAAGATATGATTTTGTTAGTTCTCCGTTAAATATATTACCTTTCAATTTCCTTTTGTACGAATTTCATCTATATTATACTATCATCATGACCGTCAATGAGAAGCATTCCCGTATAATTTAAAACCGTCATGTTGCCACTTGGCGAAATGATGACAGCCTCAAACAAAGCACAGGAAGTACCACATCGAATATGCCATTTAGTCCCTCTCTTTTTCTTCTTCTTCTTTTTTTTTTTTCTTTCTTTCTTTTCAAATTTCGAAAACAGGAGTACAACCAGATGCGTCTGTCTCGTAAGATGGCGTCAACCAATCAAAATGCTACCAACTATGCTCTCAGTGTAGTATGTTGTCCTCACAAGATGTAGGTCCACTACTTAAAAGCATCATTGAAACAAAGTCAGTAGCACAATTGTGAGGACGAAATAGCAACTTCCGAGAACAAACATTTCTTGTTTTATTTTCCTTGATCTTGGAACTAACGTTTCTGAAGCATTACTTGTTTCGAAAATGCAACCACTCCTCTACCAGATTCGAACCTACGACCTCACGGATAGCCAACTGGAAGTCAACCTACTGCGCCACAGCGACGTTGAAAGGAGAGCGTAACAATAGAATCACCAGGTCTTCTTTAGCGTTCATTGCTATATACGTGAAAACAAATTTAAAGAAAAAATTTGGAACCTTTTCTAAGAAAATATATTGTTTAAAACTTACAAATTACCTTGTTTGACGCAAAATTACAGAAAAATACTAATATTTTCGAAAAATTGAACGTGATTTCATATGATCTGTTTTTTAATGAATACATTTCATTAAGAAAAAAATACCTGTATAATTGCTATAGTAAGTTATCAAAAAATTTAAAAAATGTTTGATTTGAGTCCCAGCGATCCCAGGTTCTAATCTTGAAGGGGGGAACGTTTTCGAAACAAGTTAAGCATGCTGAAAATTTTGAAAATGTCCCAAGGACTTCATGTTAAGTGAGGGGTCTAGTTTCAAAACGTTATCTTTCCACCTTTGGTGAAGAGTGAGATATTGGTTTCAATGCAGTTGTGCGTCATTCTACAGGATGATTTGTAACTAAACGAGTTTTGTGTTCACCCCAGAGGGTTTCATAATAATGTGTTAATATCAGAACGCGATCTTTCCCCGACTAATTTTGTTGCGAAGTACGATCTTTCCAATCCAGTAATCAGAGCTCCTTGTGTCACTATGTTTTGGCGCCGTATTATATCAAAATGAAAATGTACCATTCTATAGAAATCTAACTGGCCTAAGTATAGACCAAGCTGA